GGGGGGGGAATCCCACCTTCAGGAGAAAATCACGTTGTCTGTGCAACGACCAAGTCAGAGAATGTCGTGTGGTACAAGGTATTCAAAGGAGAAGTATGATTATTGGACCACCTGAAATAAAGGGACGGGCAGATTGCATATTTTTGCTTTTTATTATTGTGTTTTTAGATTTTTTTTAAAGCAAGAACAAGGCGAACGCAGGCAAAACGATGAAGCAATCAGTATCAATACATCCTCACTTTATGAAAGAAGACTCCATTCATGCAAAGGAAGAGGAAATCGTGGACATTTGATGTCACATCCCACCGTCACACCATAGATTTATTATGCGAGCCCACGTGTGCTGGCGAGATTCTGACTCCCCCCACCCCACCCCTCTCCTCTTCAAGAAATGAATTCTACAGGAAAAACAAACAACCCCTCCCCCCGAAAAATACCAAACAAAAACAACCAAACACCTTTAGAAAGTTGTGGTTAAAAGTATGGTTCTAGTTCCCACTTATTAGAAAGAAAATCTCCACCAATCCTATCAGTGATACGTGGATTTGAGGTGGGGGTGGGGCGGTCCTTAACAAAGCTACAAGTTAATTTTTAGAGGGTTTTTTTTGTCTCAAATTACAAAACATTTGCAGTAAATAACTCACCAACGACGCACGTAATGGTCACAGGGGACACAGTCCACGTCGACATATTAATATTAGAAAAATGTGAAGCGTGCTGACAAAATGATTTACTTCTCGGAGTTGAGCCCTATAGAAATAGACTAATCATGCTTATAGGTTAGGTTTTTACAATTTGTTAGTATGAAATAACGAAAGGCATTTAGTACTTAATGAATATTGCCTCAGAAAAAACCTTGACATTTGACCCAAGAGTGTCGATTTTTGGCAAATATCTGCATTTGTGGATTATGAGAAGTAACTCATTTTGTCAGCACGCATAATACATCATGTACCGGTGTCTCGTGATTTGTTTTTCCAGAGAACTTGTTACATTGTATTTGTGTAGAACAGTTTTGTCAGAAGCGGTACTCCATGTGTTGGACTGGAGGGGGCATGAGTAGGCGCTCGTGACAGTGAGTGTTCGTCACGCCGATATCATTACTCTATAAATTACTATCGCCTCGCCCCCCCCCCTCCCCAAAGAAAAAAAGGAATGAAAATAAAATACAAAGTAAAATAATGATCTTATAAAAAGGGTAATTAGATATCAAGCAATCGAAAACGACAAAAAAGTGAATGTCAAAATGCACAGATCAGTTTATTAGCCCTAAAATCCTTCACCCAGGCGGATTGGGGATTTTCACAAATTATTTAAGGCACAGAAATGTATTAACTTCCCAGTGGTGTCCCGCAAGAAATCTGTGCAACCAGTACTGATAAAGACTTTCTACAGCTTCTTTTTACACTAGCCCCCACCTTTCAATTAAAATAAAATACAAATAAATTCTTCATTGCTCTCATGTTGACCTTTGTTGACATGATCTGGGCGTGCCAACCTTTTCAACACGCTTTTTCCCCCTTTCTTTTTTAAAAAAATGTTTGTTTGTCTCTTATAATTCCTATCTCGTGTGTGATACCACGTCTCCCAATGTAAAGTATTTGTAGGCATTGCCTCACGCACATCTCCGTTTCTGGGAAATGTCCAGTCCGAACGAGAGGTTGTCCACCAAGGGATCGTTTTCCCAGTTCTGCGGGACCACTTATAGTACGTTGACCACACAATGCTAAGGGTAGATCGGATAGCACACCC